TGTTTATTGTACAGTTTAGAGAGAACAGGAGCCAGTTCGGGATCACCTTTTTTAAGGATTATTACAGGGATGTCATCAAGCCCACATGTTTTGAGGGGATCTAGCTTAGATATGATAGCAACAAACATTGCCGGAGTTATATTCATATCCCTCAACAGGAATTCAGTTCTAAGTGGAAAGTCAGACAAATAATGATAGAAGGTAAAAAGAGTTCTCTCAGACGATTTAAATAGAGTAGTTTCGTTTTGGTAGCGATAAAATGAACAAGCCATTCCTTGCCTAAACTAACAATAGAATCATTTTTTAGATCATTTTATTTAGGTCACCTGCCAAATCGACCTTATCAAACCACTTAGACTTACTATTGACGGGAATAAATGGTTGTATAATCAGCATAGATAACGAGTTGAGAGCTGTTGTCATCAGAAAATTAAAGAACAAGGCAGATCTGAAGATAGTGCCCTTGGAAACGCCTGCATAAATATCATAACACTTCAACTTATGAAGAAGTCCCATATTCCAAAGCCTGTCAAATGCCTTCTAGATATCCAAAGCAACAGACCGAGTTTTACCATTCTCATCTAAAGCTTGATAGAGTCTTTCAGAAATAAATGTTAACACATCAACAGTAGACCGAGAGAAGATAAAGGCGTATTGCTTGTCTGAAACAAGACGCAGCAAGGTGAGATGCTTAACCAATTCAGAGTTGATTAGAGCATCTAGTATTTTGCCAGAAAGAAATAGAAGGTCGATAGTTATAAGAATCAGATGGTTAGCCTGGGTTCCTAAAAACCAGAACCACAGAAGAGGATTTCCAACCAGCAGGAAAAAAAAGAAGCAGCAAGGCATTTATTGCCCCCCCATATTGCAGAACTCTATATGTATATCTATTTTTCGAACGCTATATATATATATATATATATATATATATATATATATATATATATATATATATATATGGGAAATATGTTATAGAACCCAATATGTAAGACAAAACATTGTACTAAACCAAAAACAATACCAATAAAAAGAACAAAAGAATTGCGATAAAAAGCAATAATTTCAAATTTAATATTGCAATTAAGTGTCACTCTCTCTTCACCGTTTTCTTGAGGTAGAATTCTATTTGATGTATGTTATATTTCGTAAGTCAGGTTCCATCGTTAAAAATCATATAGTCTCGAGAAGTCCTTTCAAAAGACGTAACGCGGAACAAAGAATTTTTCCGCTTTGTCTTACACACACACCCATATATATACATATTATTTTTTTCGTTATTAAGTTTTTCGATACCATTTTAAATTTTGACTTTAAATTTTAACTTTTCACTTAATAATATTTTCTTTTCTTTTTTCTTTTATTTTATTTTGTTGGTAATCTTTAAAATAACGTCAAGTGTTAACTGTAAATTATATTATTCTGTATTTTTAAAATTAACAGCAATATGCCTATATTTGATAATTTATTCTTCCTTTTCTTTTCCCCCCGTTTCCCCCACCCCTGCTTCCCCATTTGTTTTCTATTATGTCTTATCTCTTTTCTTCACTATTTCTTTGTCTTCATTCCTTTTCCTGTGAAAGGACTTGTTAAATAGGTCAAAATGTCTGGCACCTTACCCTACAACCCTTACATTTACGTATCTTAATAAAGATAGATTTAAACATATTCCTATCTCTCCCTTCCCTCTCTAATTTCAATCATATCGGTTGTCCTCCTCCTCCCCCTCTCTCTGTCACCTTACACCAACTTAAAACTACCCTTCAAAAACCTCTAAAAATAATATGTAAATTTTTTAAACATTTTCTTTTATGCTTCGAAATGCGATCCGAGAAACCTTGAAAAAAATCCCATTCCTGAGGAAAAAATATAATCTGTGGACCCTTAAGGTTTTGTGTTTTTAATTCAACTAATATTCGTTCTGTTTTGACATTGACATTGATAATCCCAACGAGGATGTAATCCAGTGAGGATTACATCCTTCTTGAGATTATCCAAACGGATTACCAAAAATTTTATTACCTAACTATATATATATATATATATATATATATATATATATATATATGTGTGTGTGTGTGTATGTGTATATATATATATATATATATATATATATATATATATATATATACATTGATTTAGGAGAGAAAAATTATCGAGCACGATATAGTGAACAAACTTTTTAGCAGCTGAACTAACAATATATATATATATATATAGAGAGAGAGAGAGATAAATTATCTAGCACGATATAGAGAAAATTATCTAGCACGATATAGAAAAATTATCTATATATATATATATATATATATATATATATATATATATATATATATATATATATATTGTTAGTTCAGCTGCTAAAAGTTTGTTCACTGTATCGTGCTAGATAATTTTTCTCCTAAATCAATCTTACATATCTATGATTCTACTATTCGCCGATGCTTAGATTGTTCTGACGGATTGGCTCCAGTTACTTTCTGACCGCCGTAAGGTTGCGTCCCTGTGTCTTTCCTATGAATATTTCAGGGTAATTATTGGGATGAGCTCTTCGTTGTACCTATACCTTTGGAATTTAAGCGCAGTACGAGACAGGTGACGAGGTCACATCAATTGCATTGGCTAGATGTAACCATATATTCTACTCTATCAGTTTTTTCTCGTACTTCCGTGTTGTGGAACTTTCTTCCGGATCCATGCCTCCCAGCCAATATTAATCATCAAATATTCAAAGGCAATCGCTTCTGTCCTCCTGATTATTCTTCTGTTGTGTCTCTCACCTTATTAATTTTTCTGTTTCTAACTCTTCCGCACCCAGTAATCCCTTGTGTCTTATTGGCATTACTGCCTTGCTTGGGGTGAAATCGGTTATATATATATATATATATATATATATATATATATATATATATATATATATATTGTTGTAATGGAATGTCCCGCACTCCCTATCGCCTATGATTACTGGCTATATCAGTAGCTATATATAGTGAGCAGGATATACCTGGGAGCTTGCATCGGGAATTACTAGCCTACCACCCGATTTCCTGTCTTTCAGTAGTGAATTCTCTTTTACAATAAACCTCTCTTCTTTCATCTATGCGCGAGTTGCTGTTCCTTCGCTCGAATACTACTTTTGTCTGTTTGTAACCTCTTTAAGGATACAACACACACACACACACACACACACACACACACACACATGTAGCGATTTTCCAAGCGTAGCTTAGATGTGGCACATGGCCGAAAGTACGGGGTGCTATGTGAAGATCGAACTCACTACCCATTCGTAATTGTGCTAGCGAGACAAGCTTGCTAACCATTACACCCCCTAGTCCCCCCACACATGTATATGGGAGATATATATGTCTGTCTATAACATCAAAACATTGACTTCATAGAACCAGCTGCTGGAAGCGATATTAAACATCTGTCATCGGACCCAGTGTCTTTTTTTCATGATTCTTCTTTTATTTACTATATTCCCTCAAGACTTAATTATACATGGCTCTCCACAACTTCTTGTCTTTTAACCCTGTGTCTTTGTCCTTGTACCTAACACCAGCTTAAGCCCACTATTCGTTGCTTCTCCTTCCTATATCTTTCAGTATTTCCCTTGAGTGTTTAATTCTCCAGACTTTTTTCTTCGTTATGTGCACCTGGGATTTCTGAGAGTAACTTTCTTTGCAGTTTTCGTTTCACTTAAGAATTGGCATATTCATTTTGACATGCCCAAAATAAACTGCTCTCTTTTGTGGAAATTTTTGCCTTCCATTAACATGACTGATGCTAACATCAAGGATAGTGGATCATTGTGTCTTCTCGGTCTAGATTTTCCATTGATATGAATTGCAATGGTTATATCGAATCAACTGCTATATCTGCTGCTAGGAAAGTTGGTTCACTCCGAATTTGTTTTACGAATACCATTCGTCTCTGCACTGGATATTGTTGATAAATTTGGTTTGGGGTTTCTTCTAGGCATCTCGAAATTCTTGACAAAATTCAAAGAAGAACCTGCAAAGTTATCTGTCCCGACTTGGCATCTAGGGGACAATCACTTCCCCACTACCGTAACATTGCTTCCCTCTGACTTTTCCACAAATGCTTTCATAGTAGTTGTTCTGATGAGTTTTCCTCTTTGGTTTCTCGACTTGGAAGCTAAGTGTAATAATTATACTGCTGAAATTTATAAGCGGAACCGTAAGTTCTATTCTCATAGTTATTTCTGTCTCGCTTTTCACTTTTGAAACTATCTTTCAGCTACTTGCTTTCCCTGAGAACTAAAACCTGCAAAAATGTAAATATAAGTGCATTGATCAACATCTTCTATCTCTTTGAAGTCTATTCTTTTATTGTCCTTTATCCTAAGTTACTCAACGTTCTTCATTCTCAGTGACCGGTAGCGTCTTAGTAGCTTTATTGGCTTGCTTGTGTTGAAATATTGAAAAAAACCTTGTTCGATAACTAAATGAAGTGTAACTATGCGCTGAGACTCAGTCAAAACAGACTCACATTTACAAGGGAGTGACTGTTTACATGGGGAGGGGAGGTGAAATAGAGAAAGAATAGTAGGAGAGTGTGTGTGAAAGCGATAGAGATATATAGATAGATAGATAGGGAGAGAGATAGAGAGAGTGGGAGAAAGAGAAAGAGAAAGAGAAGGAGAAATAGTGGGCATGTTGGCTAGCTTCTCCATCTTCAGCATTTTTTCCTCAGCTCTCCTTTCTCACCTATCCATCCAGAGTTCTCCATCTTTAGCTCTGCTTCCTCAGCTATCCTTCCTAGCTTGCCTTCCTCACATCTCTTTCCTCCGTTCTCCATCCTCAGCTAGAGAAAGAGATTCAATCAAAACAAACACACATTTACAAGGGAGTGATTGTTTACACGGGGAAGTGAAATAGAGAAAAAAACAGCAGGAGTGTGAAACCGATGGAGATAGATAGATAGATAGATAAAGAGAGAGAGAGAGAGAGAGAGAGAGAGAGAAAAGTAGTGGGCGTATGTTGGCTAACTTCTTCATCAACTCTCTCTCATCCTCAGCATTCTATCCTCAGCTCTTCATCCGCAGCTCTCCTTCCTCAGCACTCCTTCAGTAGCTCTCCATCCAAATTTATTCTGCCCCAGCTCTCCATCCTTAGCTCTCCTGCCTCAGCTCTCCTTTCTGAGCTCCCCTTTTCTGTGCAGTCTATCCTCAACTCTCCATCCCATCCTTTCTCAGATCGCCTTCCTCACCTCCAGCTCTCCATCCTCAGCTATCCTTCATCAGCTCTCATCCTCAACTCTCCATCCTCACTTATCCTTCCTTAGCTCTCCATCCTAAACACTCCTGCCTCAGCTCTCCTTTCTGAGTTCCCCTTTTCTGAGCAGTCTATCCTCAACTCTCCGTCCCATCCTTTCTCAGCTCGCCTTCCTCACCTCTATTTACTCAGCTCTCTATCCTCAGCTCTCCATCCTAAGCTATCCTTCATCAGCTCTCCCTCCTCAGCTCTCCATCATCAGCTCTCACTCACTAGCATTTCTTTCTCAGCTCTCCTTCCTCAGTACACTTTCCCCAGCTCTCCATTCTCAGCTCTTCATCCTCAGATATACTTCCTCACCTCGCCTTCCTCTCCTCTCTTTCCTCAGCTCTCCATATTCGGCCATTCTTCCTCAGCTCTCCACTCACCGTAAAAAGGAGCTACATACAGCGAGAAAGAGCGCAAAAGAAAAAAAAGACTTCTACTGAGTTTTCCAAACTCGTCTTTAAGTCAGATGAAGACAATTTACAAAGGCAAGCTGGTTTGAGCCGCAAACGGAGAGACGTTGGGCGCGACAATGAAAGCAGAGAGTTCTCGGAAAGTGAAAAAATAAATAAACGCCTGCTAGGATGTCAAGGGCAAAGAGAGAAAGGTGTGGAGTAATGTGGTTCGACGGGGAAGGTGCGTTTCTACTGAATATTGGCAAGACTATTAACGAATTTTTTTCCGAATTTTACACAGATCATTTTCAATAAAAAAAAGTCAGGATTTAGGTCTACAACTATTAAGAAAGGGAACGTGTGCAAATTTGTTTCCGTATTGGCAGTAGCTAAAATGGGCGTTTTTCTGACTGTCTTTATTGAATGTAACATATATATATATATGTATATATATATATGTCCAGCATTGGGCACCCCGAAGCGGTGTAATGTTTAGCAAGCTTGTCTCGCTAGAACAATTACGACTGAGAAGTGAGTTCGATCCTCACTGGGTGCCCCATACTTTTCATTTTGTATAAGCAAAAATGTCCGTGAACATGCGTCTGAAGCAGGGATTGACTAGCCGCCCTAGTAGAGACATATTCATATACATTCGGCCAGCGATTATATATATATATATATATATATATATATATATCGAGAGAGAGAGGGAGGGAGGGGTGTTATCCCTTGTTTCCTGTTTAGTATTGGGTTTCCGGTCCCTTCAAATCTGTACTTCTCTTGTCTCCGTCTGAAATCCTAATTTTTATTTAGTAATTTGTAATATTTTTCCTCTCCCAATAGGAGTATATAGGTTTTTCTATCGTCCGGTTCGCACCCCTCTCCAGTTTTTTTGAACAGGAGTATAAGTCTATCCTTTGTTTCTTGTTTAGAGTCAGGTTTCCGCTTCATTCTACTTCCACGCGATACTTCTAACGTCACCGAATGAAGTCTGAAATATCGTTCGCTAATTAAATCTTAACTTCTTCAAGTTATAGTTATATGCATAATCTATCTATCTATCTATCTATCTATCTATCTATCTATCTATCTATCTATCTATCTATATATATATATGTCTGTGTGTGTGTGTGTACAGTCACAAACTCATACCAATCCAACCATAAATATATATATATATATATATATATATATATATATATATTGGTGTGAGTTTCTGACCTTGTCTCTCTCTCTCTCTCTCTGTGTACACATATATACATACATACGCGTACACATGTTTTGATGAAGACCAAATGTATTTTTCTATATTTTTAACCATTTTCCTGGTTTAAAACAGATCTGTGTCAATATTTTGACATTGGTTAGGCATTATCAAGGAATGTTATCGTACTATATCAGTTTTCTCGTTTTTGAGATATAGCGTCCTTGCGTCTCATGTCGGTTTTTAAAGAATTGCGTCTTCACATGACATTTCTTTTTTCCGCACAATGTTTTATTTTATTTTTGTTGTGGAGCAAATATTCCACCCGTGGTGACTATATGAAGTAATCCATAATTATAAATAAAGAGCTCCAGCTCAGAGGAAAGAAAAAAGAAGCCGTTTGGAGTCAGTCTTCAGACTGATTTGTACACGTGTCACAGTCGAAGTAGCCGAAGCATTAGTTATAAGCCTTACGTAGAGCATTATAACAGTGGCGACGAAGGATTCGAAACTCAATCGATTTATAACTGTTGTAACGAGGATTTGGCTCTGGCAGCTTATAAAACTAACGAGGATTCGGAATTCTGATGGCTTATAGCACTAACGAGGATTCAGGAACTCATACGAGTTGTCACTGGAGTTAAAAGGATTTTAGAAACTCATACTGAGTGAACAAGTACGGAAAATATACTTGTTGCTTCGGGAACAAGGTCATGGGTGGCGACAAGAATTTTAACTACGTTGGTTTAAAAAAAAATTCTTTTGGATGTAGATAAAAAAATTCTTGCGAATATGTAGCAAATTTTGGCATCGATAGTTGAAATTCAACAACAGAAACAGCAACAATAACAAAATCAGCAGTTGCTTGAACTAAAAAAAAAATCAACAGGAGTTGTTGGATATAATTCTAAAGAAAAGAAAAAAAATCATCGTCTTTTACGCCAGACGCTGTCCAAAACACCATATCAAAAATTGTATACAATCCTGATAAGGGACTGACTTTTTTGTGTGTATTTTCGTAGATATGAATAAATATTTAGTCAGGAATGCAGCGGCTGGGAAGATGAGAGAAGAACGAGATTGTTGTTGAGAAAAACGGCTCTGATAGTGTATGAAAAATACAGCAAGTACATATTATCGAAAAAAAGAACAGGTGTAATCGTATTTGAAGAAACGGCACACATTCTGACGAAAATCTTCAGTGGCAAGAATTTTATGTTTAATGCACGTTCGAGGTGCAAGCATCTAACCAAAAGATAGGGCGAAGATTTTGTAACATAAGCTGGTATCGTGAATAAAGAACGTGAAAAGTTTAGAATAAGGCAATGACTCCAGATATGTTCAAAGCGTTAATTTTCGTTCAAGATTTAAAAACTAAAAAAGATGTTTAAATTCTAGCAAAATTTTAAAAGTAAATTGAAGAAAACAGCAATATTACACCACAAGCAATATTAGACGATTGCCTGACAATTCTAAATCTGTAGCACGATGTTGAAGAAATTCAGAAAAAGAATGTGCATTGGAACAAGAAAAGGACAAAAGTATAAAAAGGAGAATAAATCTTTGTTTCAGATGTGTTAAATTACATCTTGGAAAAGATTGTCTATTTAAAAATGCAGACTGTTATAAGTGTGTTAAAAGGGGGGCATATAAAGTTACCCTGCAAAATCAAATCAAGAAATTCTCACAGGAAGAAATTCATACATAGCATTTGGATGGAAAATAGTCACAGAAAACAAAATGAAATTTGTGAATGCTAAAATAAATAATGTGAGCGTCAAATTCCTACTGGGCTTTGGTAGTGATATTTCAATAATCAGTGAAATCGCGTGGAAGGAAATTAGAAGGCTTTTATTAAAAAAACTTCCAAAGTCGCGATTTCTGTTTCTGGCGAGAATTTCCGTAATAATTATGTGAAAACTAATGCTTACGTATAACAAAATGCTACTAATTTATTCGATACTGATGGGATGGAACTATTTGAACTTTGGGATTTGCCGATAAAAGTTTATTGTAAAAACGTAAGTGGTAAAGCGACTAATTTTAAAACAATCAGCGCGAAAATCTTAAGAAAGAATTAAAAAATGTTTTTCAAATGTTCTGTCAAATAAACTGGACAAGTGTTCAAAATTCAGGGCCGATTTTCAAGTAAACAAATGTTTGGCACCAGTATTTAAGCCGTTTCGCAGCAATGGAAGAAAAAAATCTAAGAGTTAGACTCGAAGAATTGCTGTAATAGAAAAAATTACCGTTCAAAATGGGCTGCAGCAGCAGTGTATGTAAAAGAAAAACAAAAATAAAAATTCTTGTTTGCATGGATTTCTCGACAGGATTCAACAGTTATTTAGAAACACATAACTAACCATTACCAAGTCAACACGAAATTTTTTCGAATTTATACAATGGAAGAATATTTTCAAAGCTGTATTTCTTCTGAAGTTTATTATAAATTTAGATTCAAAATGAATGTTTAGAATTAACGGCCATAAATACGCTCAGAGTATTATATAAGTTTAACTGATTTCCTTTTAGCATAAATGTGGCACCAGCTATTTTTCAATAAGCTATGGATACCACGCTTGCGGAATGCGATTTCGCAGTGGCGTATCAGGTTGTCATTTTAATGAAAAGTTTATCTAAAGAGCATGTTGGGCATGGAAAACAATTTTGGAAAAACTAAGAGAGTACGGATTCAAGGTCAGTGGGGAAAATTCGAGTTGTTTTAACGAAAATGAAATACCTTGGCCAAATTATACTTATTATAAAACCCAGGCTTTGTGTGTGTGTGTGTGTGTGTGTGTGTGTGTGTGTGTGTGTGTGTCTGTTCGTTTATATATTGGATCGGATTTCCTACATTTTTCAACCGATTTCAACTAAACTTCACAGGACTACGTAAAATTACATTGGAGTGGTTCTGACAGCGCCAAAAATTGGAAAAATACAATTGTTTTTGCACGAAATCAATTTGAAAACACGATTGAGAGGCATCGCTGTCGCGAAAATTAAAGGGGGACAACTCATATCGAGGTAGTTTGTGTGTGTGTGTGTGTGTGTGTGTTCGTTTATATATGGGATCAGATTTCCTACATTTTTCAACCGATTTCAACAAAACTTCACTTTTTTTGGCAGGTAGTGTTTCTTATTGTCTTGCACACTTTTTTCTTTATTTTTACATTCAGAATGCTTTAAAAATTCCATTTACAATTGTTTATAATAAAATTCTATTCAATCGGTAGACTCATAACGACTGAAAACAATGTTTTTGTTTGAGTTTGGGTTTGACCAATTCGTAAAAAAAAAAATTTTTAAAATAATTAAGACATGCGTGTCCGTCAGCCTTAAACAATAATCTTTGTCAATTTTATTTTTCAGCCTTTATGATGGTCGATACTTGATCTATCTTTACTGTTACATCCCCGGGCAACGCCGGGCTCTACTGCTAGTTGTTGATAAAAATGGTCGTCAATCAGATCCGTTGAGGGTAAGTGCAATTAAAAATATACCTCCACCAACAAACGTGACAACGTTACGAGGTTTTATAGGACTAACTACTATCAAATATATGTACATAATATGCAAAACTTGAGAGATTCACTGAACGATTTACTTACAAAAGAAGTAAAGTGGAACTGAAATGATAACTGTCAAGGCGTTTGAAGAAATGAAAAAAGACTTACATCTGGTTTATCACTAGCACACTACGATCCAAAAGCATAAATTGTAGTGGCGTTAGATGCCAGTGAGTATGGCATTGGAGCGTTGATGGCAATAAAATGAAAGACTTCGATCATGCTACACTCTCGCTTCTACCAGCAGAGAAAAACTACAAAGAGATAGAAAAAGAGGCTCTAGAAATTATATTTGCTGTGAAGATATTTCATAAATTTATTCATGGAAGAAATTTTAAGTTGGAAACAAACCACAGACTTTATTAACAAGATATAGTCCAAAGAAAGGAATACTTACGCATGCAGCTAATAGACTACAATGTTAGGGTACCATCTTATTAAACTATTATTTTACGATGGAGTGCCAATAGTTTAAAAAATTAGGATATGTGGATGAATTATCAAGATAAATAAATAAAAATGCGGAACAACTAAAACAAATCCACATTATAACCAAAAAGTTAACGGTTTCTGTCTTATAAAATATACATTTTTCTCTCATTGGAACAACTATAACTTTTTTTCCTATATATATATATATATATATATATATATATATATATATATATATATATATATATGCACGTTCTGGGTATGACGATAAACTACATCCGGCAGCAAGTCTTCTCATTGGGAGATTGGAGGATTTGGGAAGCGTGGAACTACCTTTTAATTGCTGTTGTTCCCAGGTCCGCCTTGACCCGGTGTTGTAACACCTGTTAGGGTCGCAGCTATGGGCAAATAGTGTCTACCAGGGTTGACCAAGCTCTTTAGTGTTATAGAACATGACTGATCTAGGAGATGGAAAACTTTTACACGAAAAGCCTGAGGTCTATTGTCTGCTTTGTCTGTGGCATTTATTTTCACCGACTGAGTGTCTCAATAGTCCCAAAAAGTGTGGATGGTTCTGCACAAGCCTTCACCACTTTAATCAAATCACTTGTGTGGGATTTCTGGCACTTTACCTTGATTCGTTCATTCTTATCCACACAGTTTACTTGCATTGTCTTAAGTGTCTCTTAAGATTATCGCACAAAATTAACTGAATTAATTATGTTGTCAGATCCTCATACGTCGAAACCGAAGGGAGAGGTCATTATTATATATGTATATCAATTAAACCAATCCGTGTAAAATATTGACACATTGTTTTAAAGAAAAGTAGAAATTAAGAATAAAAGTAATCAATGTTTGGAACAAAAGATATATGCAGAACCGAACTTTGTTTTTTAAACAGACGCAGA